GTTTCCAAGCCTGAGATCCTAGCACAGGGCCCGGCACAGGCAGTCACTCGGGATTTGAACCAAGAAATCAGGACAGCCCACGGCAAAGGTTGTCAGCGGTTCCCAAACCGCGGCAGTACTCCGTGGGCCACTGGCAAAATCAACTGAATCGGTTTGATCAACATTATTTTTCCAGTCAAATAGAGTGGAGTACTACACGATAGAAAATATCAGTGCACTAAGGCCAGGCGCGGTGGCTCACGCCTATAATCCCAGCACTTTGGGAGGCTGTGGCAGGTGGATCACAGGGTCAGGAGTTCCAGACCATCTTGGCCAAGATAGTGAAACCCCGTCTGTACTGAAAATACAAAAAAATTAGCCAGGCGTGGTGGCAGGCGCCTGTAATCCCAGCTGCTCAGGAGGCTGAGGTGGAGAATTGCTTGAACCTGGGAGGAGGTGGTTGCAGTGAGCCGAGATCGTGCCACTGCACCCTAGCCTGGGCGACAGAGTGAGACTCTGTGTCAAAAAAAAAAAAAAAAAAAAAAAAAAAAGAAAAGAAAAAAGAAAATATCAGTGCGTGCCCTTCTGCATTAAGCTAAGTCTGCAGTCTGGATGCGTGTGCCAGTGTGGTGACGTCGGCTGCATCTCCCTGGGACATGGTCAGTCTTCAGGTCACTTCTCCAAGGCCAGAACACGGATGTGTCTTGGTGCCTCAAGAGGGGGTCCGCAGTCCGTCACTGCACACGGCAAACTGCCCACGTTGGCCGACAGTTGCTGCAGTTAATTCTTTTTACTTTTTTGAGACAGAGTCTCGCTCTCGTCACCCAGGTTAGAGTGCAGTGGCGGGATCTCGGCTCACTGCAACCTCTGCCTCCCAGGTTCAAGCGATTCTCCTGCCTCAGCCTTCTGAGTAGCTGGGATTATAGGCGCCCACCACCATGCCTGGCTAATTTTTGTATTTTCAATAGAGATGGGGTTTCACCATGTTGACCAGGCTGGTCTCGAACTCCTGGCCTCAGGTGATCTGCCAGCCTCGGCCTCCCAAAGTGCTGGGATAACAGGTGTGAGCCACCGCTCCCGGCCAATTGCTGCTGTTTCTAAGTGGGTGTTGATTTGGGCTACATGGACAGGAGTGCCAGCCATGTGTGATTTTAGTGTCCTTTCTTGGGCAGAGGCAAAGGCAGAGGGCCAGGTGTGCTCACCCCAATTGATTGGCACCAAGGAGGAGCCCCAGGGGGATGGTGGGGTCACTGTAACTGGCACCCAGACTGGGAGGGCAGTGGGAAAGAGGGGGCCGAGGACTGTGGGTGCAGGGACCAGCTCTTGGCACCAGAGGCCTGGGTAGGGGGGCACACTCAAGGCTGCAGCCACCCTGGTCAGTGGACCCACCACCAAGCGCGAGTGTGGACATAGTGTAGGGCACCGGCAGCGAGGGTAGGTCCAGACAGTCATGGGACTAAAGGCACAAGATGTAGTCGGACCCTGCTTTCTGCTGCTCACGGCCGCCTGGCCTCTGGCCGGTGTCCGAGCTTGGGCCCTGTAAGGGTGGGGCGCCTGGGCTTGAGGAGGGACATGGGCGTGCAGAGAGCACGCAGTCCCCACGCTGAGTCTCGACTGCCCATCATCCCATCAGGCAGGACACAGGGGCGGGAACAGCCCCTCCTGCCGCATCCTGAAGAGTCAGGGCAGGGTTGGGGTCTGGCGAGTTCCGTACGTGACAGCACTGGTTCCAGGCATCCCCGGGTGGGAGTGAGTGCTGGAGGCAGAGCCTGGGGGATCCTCTCAGAGGCTGTCGTCTGGGCTACCGGGGCTTCTTGCTGTCATTCTGGATGGTCCCTCTGAGCCTTTTGGAAGAGGCACAGCCGGGCACCTGTACATCAGCCCACCCGCCCCTGGTTGGGCATGCCCACAGGCTGCTGGGGTCTCCCCACCACCCCTACTGTGGCCTACTTCCCTGCATTTCCTGCCCCGCCCAGCAGGCAGACACAGGGCCCAGGACCCTGCCCCTCCTCCAGGGCCACCCTGCTGGCCAGACCTGCTCTCTCCCCATCCTCCATGTCTGTCCTGCCTCACCGGGTTGGGGTCCCCCGAGCACGGTATCTCCTGTGTTCCTTTGCCCTAAGGTCCCTGAGGGCAGAACTGTGGCCTTGTACCCGCTGACTTGGCTTCTGCAGCTGGTGCCTGGCAGGAGATGCTCAGTGGAACATCTGTGTGAATGAGAGGCTGGGACAGACCCCTCGGGAGGGCTGGGGGAGAGTGGAGGCCGGAGGCCGGGAGAGGCGCAGTGGAATCAGGAACCCTCGCCCAGGCCTGGACCTCGGTGCTGTTGCTCTCCATCCAGCTGGCACTTGCTGGACACCTGCTATGTGCCAGGCCTGAGCTTATTCTCGGTGGATGGTCGTAGCCTGGGAGGAAGGTGTGGCTATGATCTCTGCTTTACAGAGGTGAGTGCTGGGGCCCGGAGAGGTGGGGGTACTTGCCAGGGCTCTCTAAGGCAAAGCTGGGGCCCTGGAACCCAGATACACAACCCCTGCCTTCAGGAACTCCTTTATGGAACTGAGCACTGAGTATGCCCAGGTCCCCAGTCCCTAGGGCAGAGGCCCAGCTGACGGCCAATGCCAGCCAGGCATCCCAGGGGGCTTCGGGCCTGCTGGTCCCTCTAGCTCCCCTCCTCCTTCAGAAACAGGCTCCCGCTGCCCGTTGCCTTCTCGGGGGAGAGCCTGAGCTTCTGCCAGGATTAGGCCTTTGAAAAGGTGCGTGCTCAGGGTCCCAATATGCAGCCATCAATACGGCTCTCCACTGCTCCTCAGATCTCCCCGAGCCTGATCGAATTTCCTTCCGCCCCGAGCCGGTCACTCCTGAGGACTTTCAGATTTCAGAGCTGGGCCAGGTTTGAGGCAGCAAAGCACGAAAAAGGAGGTGCCATCTCCCTCCAGCTCCCTGACGTCAGAGCTGCCCAAACGCCGTGACGGACACGTCCCTGAGAGCTTAGAGCATCGGCAAACGCTCACACAGCAGACGCCTCGGGTCAGACTGGGCACCCAGGCAGTTCCGAGCGACTGAAATCAGGCTACTTAGTAATGAAACTGGCAGCTCGCTGGTGCCGCAGCCAGATCTCTAACACATCAGACTGACACAGATGGAGGCCGGCCGGGCCGCGGTAGCTGCCTTGGAGAATAAGCAGGAAAAGTCTTGTTAAACAGAAAGAGGGCTGGGAGGGCTGGGGAGGCCAGCCGGGATGGATTGTCAGCGGATCCTGTAAATACTCCAGGCAGCTCTGGCCGGGACCAGCGTGGTATTATTTCAAAGCAATTTAACCGATGGGATTCCTGACTCCCAAATCAAGAATGTTATTAAAATGAAGAACAGAGGCAGCCTGGGCACTCGTTGGTACCCAAGTCACACCCCGCCAGCTGTGGGCTCCTCGTCCTCCCCTGAGCAGCCACTTGGACTCCGGTTTCCCAGCCCCCCGACCCCCGCCCAGGCTTGTTTTGGGGGAGGGGAGCTTATTGAGGGATGGGGCTCTGGAGGCCAAGCCTGGGGTGTGTGGGGGATGCTCTTGGTTCTCAAAAACTGGAGGATAGGCCGGGCACAGTGGCTCACGCCTGTAATCCCAGCACTTTGGGAGGCCGAGGCAGGCGGATCACGAGGTCAGGAGATCGAGACCATCCTGGCTAACACGGTGAAACTCTGTCTCTACTAAAAATACAAAAAAATTGCCGGGCGTGGTGGCGGGCGCCTGTAGTCCCAGCTACTCAAGAGGCTGAGGCAGGAGAATGGCGTGAACCTGGGAGGCGGAGCTTGCAGTGAACCGAGATTGTGCCAGTGCACTCCAGCCTGGGCGACAGAGTGAGACTCCGCCTCAGGAAAAAAAAAAAAAAACACTGTTCAGTTTTGTTTTGATCTGGAAAAAGATATTAGGACCCTGCCCCTTCCTCACTTTATTTGACCATTGGGGAAACTGAGGCCCAGAGCAAAGTGCTGGAGGTGGGCCCCAAAGCTGACTTTCCTCCACCCCACCGAGATTCGTTTTTTTTTTTTTTTTTTTTTTTGAGACGGAGTCTCGCTCTGTCGCCCAGGCTGGAGTGCAGTGGCATGATCTCAGCTCACTGTAACCTCTGCCTCCTGAGCTCAAGCAATTCTCCTGCCTCAGCCTCATGAGTAGCTGGGATTACAGGCACGTGCCACCAAGCCCGGCTAATTTTTGTATTTTTAGTAGAGACAGGGTTTCACCATGTTGACCAGGCTGGTCTCGAACTCCTGACCTTAGGTGATCCACCTGCCTCGGCCTCCCAAAGTGCTGGGATTGCAGACGTGAGTCACCGTGCCTGGCCTACCACTCCCCCCTACCTTTTTTTTTTTTTTTTTGAGAGGGCCCAAGCTGGAGTACAGTGGCATGATCACAGTTCACTGCAGCCTCAACCTCCCGGGCTCAAGGGATCCTCCTGCCTCAGCCTCTCAAGTAGCTAGGATTACAGGCGCCCACCACCACACCTGGCTAATTTTTTAAAATTTTGTGTAGAGACGGGGTCTCACTATGCTGTCTCAAACTCCTGGGCTCAAGCGATGCTCCTGCCTCAGTCTCCCAAAGTGTGGGATTCCAGGTGTGAGCCACAATGCCCGGCCTGGAGTAGCCTCCCGAGCAGCTGGGATTACAGGCATGCGCCACCACGCCTGGCTAATTTTTGTACTTTTAGTAGAACCTGGGTTTCATCATATTGGCCAGGCTGGTCTCAAACTCCTGACCTCGTGATCTGCCCATCTCGGCCTCCCTGAGGGGCCATTTCGGGGGCCTGTGGGTGTTTGGGCAGTCCCACCTCGAGCCACCACGAGGCTCTGGAGCCCCTGCTATTTTCCAGGCCCCAGGCTGGGGGCTGTTGGGGGAAGTGGGCAGCCGGACCCCTGCCCTCCCGAGAGGGCAGATCGGGAGCAGGGTGAGAGGAGTCTCTGGGCGGGGTAGGCCCAGCTGTGAGTCCTGGGATGGTCGGTGCCAGCGCCCCATCCCCATCTTCCCTTTGCAGGTGTTTCAGCGCCGGGAGGACGGCTCCGTGAACTTCTTCCGGGGCTGGGACGCCTACCGAGACGGCTTCGGCAGGCTCACCGGGGAGCACTGGCTAGGTGAGCACCCCGCCCGCCTCCCGGCCCAGGTGGGCCTCCTCCCCATGCCTTCCGGACACAGTTGGGTCCCAGCCGCTCCTGAATGGGTTTGGACTGGGTTTCCCGGCACACCTGAGCCAGCTCACAGGTGTCGTGCGTGAAGGTGACAGGCATTCAGAAGGAACCAGGCCAGACATTGCCAACGGAAGTGATTGGCGTGGGTGGGCTCCGAGTGCTCATAAAGGCTGAGGGTCCCACACGCCCTTGGAGGCCAGTTCCTGCCGGGCTCGCCCTGGGACCTGCTCGCTGTCCCGAATCAAGCAAGCTTGGGCAGGTGGTCAGCAGCATCCCAGGCAGCGGGAGGACAGAGGAGGACCCGGCACCGCCCTGCCCACGGGTGCGAGGGACACCAGGCATGTAAATCCCAGGAGCAGCCAGTGGTGCTCCCAGCCAGGGCTCCTGTTTGCACCTGCAGGCAACCGCACGCCTTCCCGCCACAGTCCCTGCTTGGCACAAAGTAGGGGCTCAGAAGGTTCTGTCAATATTATTATTTACCTTTCAATTCACTCAGTATTGCCGGGCACGGTGGCTCACGCCTGTAATCCCAGCATTTTGGGAGGCCGAGGTGGGTGGATCACGAGGTCAGGAGATCAAGACCATCCTGGCTAACCCGGTGAAACCCCGTCTCCACTAAAAGTACAAAAAATTAGCCAGGCGAGGTGGCGGGCACCTGTAGTCCCAGCTACTCGGGAGGCTGAGGCAGGAGAATGGCATGAACCCGGGAGGTGGAGCATGCAGTGAGCCGAGATCACGCCACTGCACTCCAGCCTGGGTGACAGAGCCAGACTCCGTCTCAAAAAAAAAAAAAAAAAAAAATTCACTCAGTATTTTAAAATTTTTGAAAGTCCTTAACATTTCACTATCTAAACAAAATATTCTAAACAAAACCTCATTTACCTAAAGAAAATATTTATCTTAACAATATCCTAAAAGAATCACAACTTTCAGGTCTACCTATATATTTGGGAGGTGGCTGTGGCTTGACATGAGGTGGGTTTTTCTGGTTGTTCTTGAGATATAATTTACATACAACAGAATTCCCCATGTGGAAGCGCATGACCCCATGGCTTTTAGTATATTCAGAATATTACATCCATCATCACTGGGTCCAGAATGTTTTCTTCACTCCAGAAGGAAACTCTGTGTCCCCGGGAGCAGTCACTCCCTTGCAGGCTTTGAATATACCTGAAACGCACAGGTGCTGGGGGACGCATGCCCTGAGTGTCATCTGGGCGGCCTCGAATGCCCCACAGTGTCGTCCTGCACTTAAGCCCCCCAGGGTGCGTGCCGACATCCAGGGAGTTCCACAAGCTGCGGTGGTTCCACAACCTTGGGTGGGAGGGAGAGGGTGAGAAGGGTGAGGACATCCGGGGAGTTCCCCAGTGCAGGGCAGAGCTGGCGGGGGAGGGAGAGGGTGAGAAGGGTGTGGACATCTGAGGAACTCCCCTGTGCGGGATCAGGGCTGGTGGGGGGAGGCTTGGGCAGGAAGGAGAGGGTGAGAAGGGTGTGGGCTGGCATGGCTGGCGGGAAGCACCACCTGAGGGGCTGAGAGCGCAGGTCTGGGCACCAGCTGGGGTCAGGGGGGCTCCAGGCCTGTAAGGATGTTCAGTGACACCTTTGGGGTGGTGGCCCCAAAGGCAGGGTTGGGGTGGCGAGGCGGGGCCACCCCTCTGTGTGCATGGAGGCCCCTGGGCAAGATCTGCCACCGATGCCCCCTCCTCACCCGGGCCCACGAGGGCAGGGCCCTCTCCGACCTGCCGTGCCCTGGTCCCTAGGGGGTGCCGGCAACAGGGAAGGTCACACCCCGTGTGGACTTCATGCCCACACCCCGTGCTGAGCCCCGACCCACTGAGCGCCCAGCTACACGCTTCCCATGCATCGTCCCCAAAACCTCACATCTACCTAGTTGGGGGCCCTGCTGTCGTCCCCTCCTTTTAGAGATGAGGAAATTGAGGCCCAGGAAGGGGAGGTCTCTTGTCACAAGCATGCGTGGGTTGGGGTGGGGGGAGCCCCAGCAGGGTCCACACACTGGTGCCCAACCAAACTCGCCTCATCCCCTGAACCTGGTGGATGGCAGGAGGGGAGATGGGGAGACCCTGCCTCAGGCTCCCCAAGCTGGGGGTAAAGAAAAGGACAAGGCAGCAGGAATGAGCTATGCCCTCGCCACCACCCACCCACCCCCGGAGCAGCGGTGATGCCCGTGCTCATGGTATCTTAATTGAAATCTATCAGCAGCCACAGATGGTGCGGGAGGAAGCATTTAAGCAGGTCCTGATTCCAGCATCCTGCAGACGAGCCCTGACAGGAATGTCAACAGCGCTGGTCCCTCCTCTGCCGCACCACCCTCCCCATCCCCTCTCATTGAGTGCTTTGTCTTTTCCTATTGAGTCATGGGAGCTCTTTATATATTAAGGTTATCGATCATTTGTCCAATACACATGATAGGTATTAACTTCTGGCCATTTGTCTTTCAGCTTTTTCTTTTTCTTTTTTGGGGTCATGTTATTACTTATTTCCTAGGAATTTAAGATGTTTATGTACTCAGTTCTGCCACCCTTTTCTTCGTATCATTTCTGGGTTTTAGCCCCTGCTGTCCTTTCCTTCTCTTCCTAGTTTTATTTTAAGTCTCCTTTATTTTTTCTTCTGTTTTTCTTCTCTTTTTTTTTTTTTTTTTTTTGAGACGGTGTCTTGCTCTATAGTTCAGGCTGGAGTGCAGTGGCATGATCTCGGCTCACTGCAACCTTCACCTCCCGGGTTTAAGCTATTCTCCTGCCTCAGCCTCCCGAGTAGCTGGGATTACAGGCGCCCACCTCCATGCCCGGCTAATTTTTATATTTTTAGTAAAGACAGGGTTTCACCATATTGGCTAGGCTGGTCTCGAACTCCTGACCTTGTGATCTGCCCGTCTCGGCCTCCCAAAGTGCTGAAATTACAGGCGTGAGCCACCATGCCCGCCTTTTCTTTTGTTTTTCTAGTGTTGTTTTAGGTTGAGAGCTTTGGTCCAGCCGGAATCCACTGGGGTGGCCGTGTGAGGTTTAGGGTCTTACTGGTTTCCTGTCCGTTTCAAGCCGTCAGCCCTCTTTCTTACTCCCTGCGATTTGAGCTGGGAGCTGGTGAAGGAGTTGGATCAGGGGCCCAGGGAATCTGGGAAGAACAGCTAACATGGCTGGGGGCGGTTCTGGAAGGAGGGGGAGAGCGGGGAGAGCTGGAGAAAGCCAAAGAGCAAAGGCAGGGAGGGAGGGAGGCAGAGAGGGAGGGAGGGAGGTGAAGGAGGGAGGCAGGGAGGCAGGGAGGCAGGGAGGGAGGGAGGCAGGGAGGCAGGGAGGGAAGGAGGCAGGGAGGCAGGGAGGGAAGGAGGCAGGGAGGCAGGGAGGGAAGGAGGCAGGGAGGGAAGGAGGCAGGGAGGCAGGGAGGGAGGCGAGGGAGGGAAGGAGGCAGGGAGGCAGGCAGGCAGGGAGGCAGGGAGGGAGGCGAGGAAGGGAGGTGAAGGAGGGCGGGAGGCGAGGGAGGGAGGTGAAGGAGGGCGGGAGGCGAGGGAGGGAGGTGAAGGAGGGCGGGAGGCAGGGAGGGCGGGAGGCAGGGAGGGCAGGAGGCAGGGAGGGCAGGAGGCAGGGAGGCAGGCAGGCAGGCAGGCAGGCAGGGAGGCGAGGGAGGGAGGAGGTGGCATGGACTGGAGGAAGGACGGAGAGGAGCCCAGGCCCCAGGTCCCCACACACCCCTCCCTTGGGCGTCCTGCACAGCAGCCCCCAGGACACCGCTCATGAAGCGTCACTCAATCCAGAGGAGTGGCTGATGGAGGCCTTTGGGCCCCAGTGGCCATTTCGTGGTGGGAAAAGGAATCTTCCAGCATCCCCGGCAGGGGCGGTCTCCCTCTCTCCCTATTCCTGCATCGTCTGATTTGTTCTGGGTAAGGTCTGAATAGCAGCAGGGAGTCGGGGCCCTTCTGCCTGGGTTCGAATCCCAGCAGTGCCACTCACCAGCTGTGTGACCTGGGCCAGCTCCTTAACCTCCCTGGGCCTCATTTTCCTCCCCTGTAAAATAGGGAGTCATACGCACTCCTTCCCCGGGGCCTTGGGAAGCAGCAGTCAGCACCTGGATAATGTGTGCAGTGGGCCAGCCCTGCCAGAAAAGCTGCCCAGGGATTCTGTAATTAAATCGGACTCACTCTAATTCCACTGGATTCACTCATCTGCACGAAGGGCTGAGAACGGTGCTGGGCCCTCGTGAGTCCCGTCCAGGTGGCGGCTGTTGTCATGATTACCTCCCGCCTGCCCTTTCGTGGATGATGCTGTCTTGGCCCCTCATGTCCGCCCTGTGCTAGCTGAGCTGGGGCCCAGAGAGGGAGAGCGGCTGCCCTGAGACTCAGCAGCAGGAGAGTCAGGGAGGGGGGACACCGGGTGAGACCCCAGGCTCTTGAAGCCCGTGCTCTGGCAGGTCCTTGGGGAGGAACGGAGGAACGTGGGTTGGGCGGTCAGCTTTGCTGTGACTCCTCCCACAGCAGCTGCTCCTGGTTCCTGGACCTGGTGACTGGGACCAAAGCCTTCTTGTCCGGGCGGGATCAGGGAGGATCCGTACAACCTCCAGCCGGCACACACTGACCCCGGGAGGTGTGGAGACAGGGAGAGGCAGGAGGAGGGAGAAGCGGACGGAATACCACTGGCTGCTACCCACTTGTAAATCATTTCATTAAATGCCCTCTTAATCCAAAGTAATCACAACGGCAGTGAAGCACCTTGGGTGTCTGAGCACATGTGTTTATGGTGAGGGAGGCCTGGCATGAGACCCCGGGCATGGGCAGGGCAGAGCTGAGGTGGGGCGGGGACAGCAGGAGGGAGAGAGTGGAATGGAGGCACAGAGCCGGCCTAGAGGGATGAGGGTGCCGCCTCCTGCCTCCTATTCATTAAGTCAGTGCTGGGTGAGCACCATTGTGCCGGGCCCAGCCCAGGCACTGTGGTCAGCAGTGGTCAGGTTGGACACGCCACTCTCATGGCGCTTCCGCACTGGCGGGGAAACTGACAAGATAGGCAGCCGGAACCCTGAAAGATAAACACCCACAGGGGCAGAGGAGGTCCTCAACGCCGACGGGAGGTCAGGCAGCCTTCCAGAAATGAACAGAAGGTAACCAAGTGAGGAGAAGTAGGGACAAGCATCCCTGGGAGAGGGAACAGCATGTGCGAAGGCCCAGAGGCCTGGTTTAGAAAATGTGAACACCAGATCCTGTCTGGCTCTGGCTGGAGTCTGGGTAAGGGTGCTGTCACCCCCACCTCCTCCCGCCTCCTGCAGTGCTCCCGCCAGCTCAGAGCCCCAACGTTTGAAAAGCATCACAGCTCCACTTACAGGGAACAGAGAAAACCAAACATGAAATCTGTCGGTCCTCAGTGACTGGCCCAACACAGGCCGACAGGAAGAAGGAAGTAGCCCAGGGCAGACTGCACGCACTTGGTGGCTGTCCCTTTCTGTCCTCAACTGCAGGAGCTCAGCTATCATTTATCATTTCTCCCTGGGGATTCGCTTTCTACGCCCCTCAGCTTCTCCCACCATTTTCTCCCCAACTTCAGGCCTCAAGAGGATCCACGCCCTGACCACACAGACTGCCTACGAGCTGCACGTGGACCTGGAGGACTTTGACAATGGCACGGCCTATGCCCGCTACGGGAGCTTTGGCGTGGGCTTGTTCTCCGTGGACCCTGAGGAAGACGGGTACCCGCTCACCGTGGCTGACTATTCCGGCACTGCAGGTGAGGCTCCAGCTGCGGCAGGGATGGGGAAGGGCGTGGCCTGGGAGGATGGAGGACGGAGGAGGTCCTGCCCTCCAAAATGATCAAGGCTCATGGATTTGGCCCCCTTTGAAAGTAATCAGGTTTTTGAAAAATAACAAATATTGATAAACGACCAACCCCACATCACAATCAGAGGCCTGAAACCAATCTAAAATTTTGTTTTAAGTAATAAATTTTTCAAATTGAAAGAGTGAACAAGACAGAAAAGGGAAAATTTTCTTCCTTACCAAGGATTCCTCAATCCCTGTCTTCATCAGCTGATTCCGTTGCGTCATACAAAATGAGCTTCTGTGAAGCTACTGTTCGTTTTTTCATAATAATGTTAATTATGCCCTTCGGCCCTCTGGGGTCAGGGTCGAGGCTACTGGCCTCCACCTCCAAGTCCTACTTGGTCCTCACCCCTGCAAGGCAAATCCAGCAGAGCCTGGACTGTTTTCCCGTTTTGCAGATGAAGAGACTGAGCTCAGAGCCGGGAATCAGGAGACCCGGGGTTCGGGCCTGCTGGGTCTCTAAAGTGTGGTGGCTGGACCCCCTGGGCTGGGTGTCCCCTCTCAGGCCGAGGAGGGGGAGGCAGAAGAGGGAATGTGGAAAAGCCGGGGGAGGGATAGAGACCGCCTAGACCCAGGGGCAGCCCCAGGCACACCTGAGGAGGGACTGCGTGCGTGTGACCTGCATGGACACACCCGGGTGTGGAGGGGTGGGTGTGGAGGGGCAGGTGTGCGTGCACGCGTGCACACCAGTGTGTATGTGTGAGAGCACGTGCGTACGTGTATGCCCTCACGTCCAGGTTCACGTGCAGTGTCTTGGTGTCTGCTCACACATGCAACACCAGTGGGCGTACCCGTGCCCCCCGTGCCCACACCTGTGTGCCCCCCTGCACAGGCGACTCCCTCCTGAAGCACAGCGGCATGAGGTTCACCACCAAGGACCGTGACAGCGACCACTCAGAGAACAATTGCGCTGCCTTCTACCGAGGCGCCTGGTGGTACCGCAACTGCCACACGTCCAACCTCAACGGGCAGTACCTGCGTGGTGCCCACACCTCCTATGCCGACGGCGTGGAGTGGTCCTCCTGGACCGGCTGGCAGTACTCACTCAAGTTCTCCGAGATGAAGATCCGGCCAGTCCGGGAGGACCGCTAGACCGGTGCACCTTGTCCTTGGCCCTGCTGGTCCCCATCGCCCCATCGCTGACCCCACCTCACTCCTTCGTGAATGTTCTCCACCCACCTGTGCCTGGCAGACCCACTCCAGCAGGGAGGGGCTGGGCCATCCCTGACACGAAGCCCCCGGGGCTGGTGAAGTCACACATCACCTTCTCACCGTCCCCACCCGCTCCATTTGGCAGCTAACTGATCTCTTGCCTCTGTTGATGGGGGCTGGCAAACTTGACGACCCCAACTCCTGCCCGCCCCCACTGTGGCTCCCGTGCTGTTTGCCGTCCCCTGGCCAGGATGGTGAAGTTTGCCCCGGGCAACCCTCTGCTCTGCCCACCCAAACACCTGGCATTATGGGGACAGAGAGCAGGGGGCAGACAGCACCTCCGGAGCCCTCTTAGCGGATCGTGTGGAACGTCAGGTCTCTCTGAGGTCAGGTCTGAGGCCAGTGTCCTCCAGCCCTTCCAGTGCCAACCCTCACCCCCATTTCCCTAGTGCCCAGATAACCCACCTCTTCCCCCAGGGCCTCGGCCTGGCTGTGGGCTGGGTGGCCCCATCCTACCGTGCCCTGAGGCCAGGAAGGGGAGCTGCTGCCTTTGGGGACCCACACTCTAAGGCTGAGACCAGTTCCCTGGAGGCCACCCACCCTGTGCCCCGGCAGGCCTGGGGTCTCCAGTCCCCTTACCTGCTGTACCCACCTGCTCTCTGTCTCAAATGAGGCCCAACCTATCTCCCACCCACCCATCCCATTTCTCCTGCCTCTGGAAGGTGGGTGGGGCCCTGCACTGTGGGGCTGGGCTGTGCTAATGGGAAGCTGTTGGTTTTCTGGGCTGGGGCCTAGGCAGGGCTGGGATGAGGCTTGTACCACCCCCACCACCAATTTCCCAGGGACTCCAGGGTCCTGAGGCCTCCTGGGAGGGCCATGGGGGCGGCGACCCCCTCCCTGAGGCCGCTGTCTCCATGGGGAGGCCAACTCCTGCCAGCGACTGTGGCCATCTGGACCCGGGCCAGGCCCAGCGAGTGGTCAAGGGGCAGGGACCACGTCACTGGGCAAATGGGGTCGAGGGGACTGGGGCACCAGACGAGGCACCACCTGGACACTTTCTTGTTGAATCTTCCCAACACCCAGCACGCCGTCATCCCCGCTCCTTGTGTGTGCACATGCAGAGGTGAGACCCGCAGGCTCTCAGGACCAGCAGCTGCAAGGGCAGGGCTGGAGCCGGGTCCTCGGCTTTCTGCTCAGCAGCCCTGGACCCACGTGCATTATTGTGTCAGGCCCAGATGCAGGGCGGTTTTTCCAAGGCACCCCGATGCGGGGCCTCTGAGAGGGCTGGAGTCAGCCTGGGGGAGCTGCCCAGCAGCCCCTCCTCAGGCAGGAGGGGAGGTGGCTTCCTCCAAAGGACACTCGATGGCAGGTGCCTGGGTAGTGTGGGGTTCCATTCTCCCTTCCCCTCCCACGAAAGTTTGTGCTTAAAAAACAATCAATTTGACTCGGCACCACTAGGGGGGCGGTGGGAGAGGCCGTGAGACCTGGCGTCTGTTCCAGCGCCACCAGGTCACCCACATGCGCAGATGTCTGCAGCGCTTCCCTCTGCCGTGGCCCTGGGCTGCCCTGCCTGCTGGACAGGACCTGGTCCCTGCCCTCTCAGTCCTCAGCTGGACGCAGATACACCCAAGAATCAGGTGGTGGCAGCCCAGTGTGGCTGGGCTGGTGGATGGAGCAGCCCAGGTGCGGGGCCACGAGGGGCAAGATGTGGGTAAAATGACCACATGAGATTCAAAGGGAAATCTCCCCTCAGCTCCTCTTCCCACCCTCTAGAAGCCAACGGAGCCCACCCAGACCACCTGGGTTCCCAGGGCACGCTGTCACATTGCAGAGGCCGGGTGGAACTCAAGTTCTCATCCCAGGAGCCCCCACCGACAGGCCCCAGGCGGGAGCTACCAGCCTCCTCATGCCAGCGGCTGCTTAGAAAGTGCCAAGCGCTTTCTGATGTGTCATCAAACAAACTCCTGGTGAGTGTGAAGTTAATGGACTCACAGATGTGCGGGTACAGCAGGAGGCACCGGGGCCCTCGTGCCAGGGCTTGGCTATGGAACAGATGCATCATGGCTGGAGCCTGGCAAGGGGCTGGGGGCAAGTGGAGGGGGCCTTTGGGAGCCTGTGGACCAGGTCCAGGCAGCATCTGTCCTCAGCGGCCGGCTGCACTGGAGATGCTGTCCCTTCCAGAGCCCTGTTACTGCCCTAGAGCACCAGCCCCCGTCCCAGACCAGGAGAGGGCACACGGCCCCACCAAGCACCAGCTGAATGGGCACAGGGCTTGACATGGTGGGGAGGGCCCAAGCCAGTGCACTGGCCCCACCCTCCCCAGGGGCACCTTCAAAGACTGGCACTGGGAAAAAACGGTCCTTGCGCACCTGCTCTGGGCCACAGCCTCTCACCCTAGCCCTGCAGAGCCTACAGTCTGATACCAGTGCAAATGGCTGTCATCTGAGACTGGAGGACGGGGATGCTAGGAGAGCCCTGGGTGAGGGACAGCTGGAGACCTGTGGGTTGACTGACCAGGCCAAGGGCTGGCGTGTGCACAGGGTTGCCTGGGACCCATGGGCCCCAAACCCTGTCCCTTGGGGCCCAATTTGAGGGCGGGTGCTTGTGGCCCTCCATCCCACAATGCCGCCTGACTGAGCCGCCTCCTGCTTCTTCATTTGAGGGGAGTAAGCTGAGTGGGAGGGGTCTCTGCATCGCCACACTGGGACTTGGAGGCGGTGCACCTGCGCCGTTGCCTCTCCAGTGCACAGGCAAGTTCTGTGGATCAGCAATGGCCTTCCTCCATTCCCCTCAACTTTGCACACATCTCAGAGTTACACCAAAGGCCACCCAGCTGACTGCCTGAGCACCAGGGTCCAGAGGATGGAAGGACCCTTGGTTTCCATGCTGGTGGCCTCAGCACATTCAGCCGGAGATAGGAACAGAGCTACGAGCCGTTCTCAAACGGCTTTCCCCTGCAACTGCATGTAAATCGGTTTTATAATGTTTGTCTTTGGCAGAAAAGCTGTACCAACAGCGCCCCTCTCTTCCTGGTCCCCCTTACCCTTCCTGCCACCTATCCTCATCCACACAGGCCTCTGGCTGGCTTCGCTGGGGGCAGAGCCCTGGAAGCTGGGAGCCAGGGTCTCTGGAGGCCCTGTCACCCAGGGGCGGGTCTGACCAGGCAGAGATTTGGAGGATTGTTGAACCATCTCAAACCATGAGGACGCTGACTCCAGAGAGGGGAAGGAAGAGGGGGAGGTACCGTTTGTGTGAGATGGGGGGACAGGGGACATGAAGAAGGCCCGTGGCCAGTGGCAGACCCCTGTCCTGTGACTTCAGGAGCAATGCACCAGCAGGAGGACCCAGCAGAGGACACACAGAACCCGCAACAAGGAGACAGGACACTAAGCTTTGACCTCAGCAGACTGGGCTTCCCCAGGGCCTCCATTTCTTCATCTGCTTTCAGAGAAAAGGGTGTCCCCAAACTGTGTGGCCCAAGCAGCCGGCAGGACTTGGCAAACCCAGAGGGCTGAGGTCAGGCCTCGGTGCGATTTGTGGGGAATGTGGGGGAGCTCTGGCCCAAGGCTGGCCACGTTGGCCCCCTATGCGCTGGCAGGTGTGTGTCTCAGGCCACACAGCGCTGGACAGGGCTGCAGAGGGAGCTCAGAGGGCCAGCACAGTGACTGGTGGAAGAAGCCTGGTACGGGAGCGTCGCTAGGAGAGGCTGTGGGTGCTTGGTGTCTGTGCGTTCTGTCTTTAATAAAGTCTCGTGGTGACCCGGCTCCGGTCTCCGCCTCCAGCCCAACTCCACGCCTCATGTCAGAGCTTGAGTGGATCAGATACCCACATGTTCCAGGACTGCCTCTTGCTCTGTCTCCCCTGAACTCCCCCCATCATTATTTTTAGAGACGATCTTGTTCTGTCACCCAGGCTGGAGAGCAGTGGCACAATCACAGCAAACTCCTGGGCTCAAGCGGTCCTCCCACCTCAGCCTCCTGAGTAGGTGAGACTGACTACAGGTGCGCACTACCACACCCAGCAATTTTTTTTCTACTTTTTGTAGAGACGGGCTCTTGCTATGTTGCCCAGGCTGGTTTTGAACTCCTGGGTTCAAGCCACCCTCCCGCCTCGGCCTCCCAAACTGCTGGGATTGCAGGCATGAGCCACCGCACCCAGCCACCATTTTTATTAGAGCAGCCAAAAGGCATTTCCCAGATAGCTTTGGACCCACCAGGGCTGCTCAAGACCCTCTGACTGGGCCAGTTCTGGGCTTTGCAAAGACAGCCTGGGCCTGGTCAGGCGGACGCAGGGCCTGCCTCCTGCACAAGCTGTGCCCAGTGGGGTTGGTCCTCCTGGGGCCTGGGCTCTGGAGGATGAGCCCGGGGCCTGGTCCATCGGTGCATCCCTCCCAGGTCCCCGGGGTGATAAACTATCCCGTGGGTCCCTCCTGTGGCTGGGCCTAGAGTTCCAAGGAACTGAGACACTTTATTAAGAACGAACAGTCCCCAGTGGCTATTTATTCATAAAACCAATTTGAGGCTTACGGATAAAACAATCCCCGGAGTTTATTTAATAAAATCCAATATTTATTGAGTGCCTGTGTTGGAGGTACTGCATGGGGCCAGTAGAAAGAGCAGCAGTGGTGATGCCCTGTGCTCGGCCTCCGTCCGACACCTGTCGGGGGCAGGCAGCCTGGGAGTCTCACACCCCCCTGTGCAGCCAGAGGTTTCCAAGTTGGGGTTCACAGAACACGAATCCCTCTCTTCCCTCCACCACGGACTCTCACTCAGCCAGCATAGCGCCCGCTGCTCTGACAGCTTGAGGGGGCAGAGGTGGGGTGCCAGAGGAGGGAGGGCAGAGGTAGGGGGGCAGAGGTGGGAGGTCAGAGTGGGGGGTAGAGGTGGGGGCAGAGGAGGGAGGGGCAGAGGAGGGAGGGGCAGAGGTGGGGCAGAGGTGGGGACAGAGGAGGAGGCAGAGTAGGGAGGGGCAGAGGTGGGAGGGGCAGAGGTAGGGGGGCAGAGGTGGGAGGTCAGAGTGGGGGGCAGAGGAGGGAGGGGCAGAGGTGGGGGGACAGAGGTGGGTGGGTAGAAGAGTGAGGGACAGAGGTGAGGGGGCAGAGGTGGGAGGGGCAGAGGTGGGAGGGGCAGAGGTGGAGACTCTGGGGATGCGACTCCTGAGCCAGGCCGCAGAAGTCACAGATCATGGCCACCTGCCTCCCACAGGCCACACGAACCCCAGGTGCAGGTGTGCCCAACTCAACTCCTTTCCCGCAACCACCAGACCAGCCTGAGGCAGCTCCTGGAAAGGTTCAAGGACTCAGTCACAGAGGTCCTCAGACAAGGATCCATGCATTTAGGCAAGAAATGGTGCCCAGCAGCGTGGGAAGCGGCTCCCCAGGGCAGGAGGGGTTCAGCCAGCAGAAATGGAGCGGCAGTTGCCCACAGCACCGGGGACCCGGGCTTAGTTGGGGGCCACCACCCTGTGCCCTCCCCAGCAGCAGTGAACACCGCCTGAGAGGGCACCATGCCACCCCGACAACCCCACCCCACCACACAGGCACTGCGGTCATCCCCAGCCAGGCGGGGAATTGGAAGCTAAGTGAGCTGGAGGTTGGCTGTGGCTGAGTCTGGTGTGGAACCCAATTCGGGAGTGACATGTGGCTAAAGGGGGCTGGAAGGGAGGGGTCGGTGAGCCGAGCCAGGGCCTGAGCTTAGCACAACCAGGCACTGTCACCCCAGTCCCAGCCTCCTCACTTTTGAGAATCCTGGGCAGGCGCTGCTGGTCAGCTTGGCCGTGCGGGGACCTGGCCTGGATCTGTGTCTGGACAGTTTCCCAGGGAACCCCACAGGCTTTGGGGGTGGCCCACTGACTCCACCCCCAGAGCGGCTTCCTCTACCACCAGCCCCACCACCCTGGCACCTCGCCTCCCTGCATTACCCGACAGCATGAAAAGCCTCCAGCACTGGAAGCCGCCCCGATGGGTACTGCCACTCTTGGACTGCTCTAGCCCCGGCCACCCTGTGCTCCCAGGCAGCCCCAAACCTGCCCACCTGGGCTGTGGTGGCAGAAACAGTGGCACAGTTGTCATCCCCCAGCTGCTCAAGAGGTGGGGGAACCCAGATGCTTCCAGGGGCCCAGGAAGGGCATCTGAAAGCAATTTTTCCATCCGGGAGTTCCAGGGGTGGAGGGGACCAGGCAAACCCCTGGAGTCGGCAGGTTTGGTGCCAAATCCAACACCTGACTGGGCTCCAGGCACCCCGGTCTGATGGGGGCAGGTGGGGACCTGAGGCTGGGGAACATGTGGGCCATGTGGGGACCCTCATCCTCACCCCCAGCATTGCTCCCACCCCAGACCCGCCCCTCAAACGCTCCCACCCCAGACCCGCCCCTCACATGCAGGACGTTCTGTGGCCACCACTCAGAGCCACAGACCTCAGTCCTGAAAGAGGACTCTGGGCCCTGGTGGTTTCAAAGCAGAATCTTTTCTGGGAGCCCAACATGTCACACACAGGAAAGTGGGGCTTGGCCTGGGGGCAGAGGGGCGCGTGCGAGGTAGAGTGGTGCGTGTGGGGTACAGGGGTGCCTGCGGGGCAGAGGGGTGTCTGCAGGGCAGAGGGGTACCTGTGGGGCAGAGGGGTGCCTGTGTGGGGCAGAGGGGTGGCCTTTGGGACAGAGGGGTGCCTGTAGGACAGAGGGGTGGCCTGTAGGGGAGAGGGGTGCCTGTGGGACAGAGGGGTGCCTGTGTGGGGCAGAGGGGTGGCCTTTGGGACAGAGGGGTGGCCTGTAGGGGAGAGGGGTGCCTGTGGGACAGAGGGGTGCCTGTGTGGGGCAGAGAGGTGGCCTTTGGGACAGAGGGGTGCCTGTAGGGCAGAGGGGTGGCCTGTAGGGGAGAGGGATGCCTGTGGGACAGAGGGATGCCTGCAGGGTTAGACCCCATGTTACCTTCCCCAACTTCCATGGCCATTCCTGAGGAATTCCGCAAAGCACAGCTTGGGAACCCGAACCTCATTTTACACCACAGGGCACTGAGGCACCCAGAGGGCAGGCATCCGGTTCAGACTCACAGCATGGTAGGGACCCACCCTGGGAGGCACCCCATGGATAACCGGCACTCACTGTCTGAATCAACCAGCACTAACAAGGGAGACAGAAGGACACCACACCCCGTCTCACGAGCACACACATACACACACACGTGTGCACATACTCACGTGGGTGCATACACACGCACACACACACACACACACAGGACAGGGGCACCTCAGGCCATCGGAGGCAGCCCTGGCCTGGGGGATGGAAGCCGGTTCTGGCCAGCACAGCTCAGTCACCAGCTTCAATCCACAGACTCTCCGCTCGAACCTGGGCGCTCAGCCCTGAAGTGGGGGTTGAGATTCCAACGCCTTCCTCAGGTCACTGGGGAAGTGTCCACAGGCTCTCTATTCCCATGACTTCTGACCCCCCAGCACCCCAGATGCAGGGGTAGGTCAGCTGGGTGAGGGCCCCTGGACTGGGGGAGGTCCTGTGTGCTGTTTCCAACAGTGGTGGGGTGGGGCCGCCTCATCACCCACCTGCCTGCTTTCAGTGGAGGGAGAATCTCTGCCGGGCAAGGAGCAGAGGCTGGGTCCTCCCGCTGGCCTCCCAGAGGTGACCCTCAGAGACAGTCGGGGCTGCCCAGGGCATGGGGCAGGAGGGGCTGGGGGCCACAGGCAAATGCTCCACTGCTGTCCGGGGCATCTGCGGTGCCCCCTTGGTTGGTTCCTGGAGAACATGCCGCCGAGGGCTCCACCTGCCGGGGAGGTGCACCTGGCTTAGCCACACAGTCCTGTGCCTCTGAAACACGGGCCTCATGGGTTTCTGTGACTTTCCTGCCCATGGGAGCCATCCTGCTAGCTGGGCAGGTGTGTTGGGGGTAGACGTCCACCCACCCCATGTCCTCTCCGGAGAGTGAGGGGCCGACCCAACAAAGACAGGACCCTTAGGGTGATGAAGGGTGGGCTTGGAACCCCCACCAAGGGACTCAAGGGTCTGTGCCCGCAATTTGCAGTTAATGATGCTGTCTGCTCTCCTCCAAAGGGCAGCCCGCCTGCCCTCTCATCAGACCACATCCTGTGTTAGGTTTTTTTCAAATCAATGCAGTCAGCACTGCCCCCTTCACCACCGGCGTCCCCAATGGAATCCCAGGGTCAGGAATGCGCAGCAGGCAGTCGGCACAGCGGCAAGCACACTGCGGGCCATATAAAGCGGGGAGAGCCTAGGGCCCATGCCTCCTGGACGAGGACCCAGAGCAGCTCTGCCCAGCCCAGCCCCGGAGCCCAAGAATCCACCAGCCAGCCCTCCTGGGAGCAGTCCCAGCCACACGGTGAGCACAGATGCCCTGTCCCCAGCAGGAACTGCAGCTCAGGCCCTGCCCGGGCAGGAGCCAGGCACGGGCAGTCAGAGGGCACACAGACGTACAGGGAGGGAGGACCCGGAGAGGGGACACCAGTGCCTCACATGCCAACAGCCCGGAGCAGCACAGACTGGTCACGGCTGCCCTGCCAGGGCTGCGACCCAGCCTCACCCCTGTGCTTTCCCTGCTGCTTCCTGGCTGTGGGGCCTGAAGCCCTGACTTGCGCTGGGGCCCCCTTTCCAGTGATGAACACCCCCAGTTTCTACCAGATTCTCAAAGGGGTGCATGAAGGGGTCCAGGGCCTGCTCTGTGTCAGGGTGTCTCCTTTCTAGACACCCAGCGGCTACTCCCAGGTGGATTCATCCACCAGGATGGAACGGTCCCCGGTCCACATCACAGTCAGCAGAGTGCTTTCTATGAGGAGGGAATGGGGCTGGGCCCCTGCGGAAAACCACCTCGTGGAAGCCCCACTCTGCCCTGATGGGAAGGTTTTCCTGGTGGTATGTGAGGGAGGTCGCTCCATCCCTGGGGGACGAGAGAAGCTTCGAACTGGATTCGGGTAGAAATTGGGGTTGCGTTTATTATTTTTTTAAAAGCTTCCTGGCTGAGCTCGCTTCTTTGAAATGTGTTCAAGGGAGCCATTTCTGGAAAGGGCTCTGGGGACTCCTGTACTGTCTTCTCCAGGGCCGGTGCTCTCTATTCTGGCCTCAGTTTGACTCAGCAGAGGACAAGCCAGCTCCAGCTCCCCTGCAGTCACTGTCAAAAAGGCTTCCTTTGCCAGACAAGGGAGCAAGTGCTTCCAGGGCAGGTTCATTCCAGGAGGATGGGTTTCAGATACCCCGAGTGCCATGTGGAGTACAGAGTAGGGACTTAGGGCACGCCTTCCTGAGTCAAGCCCAGTTAGATTTGGGACTGAACTCCAGCTCTGGCACTGGTAAGGCCATGCGATCTGGGGCAAGTCACCTCAGCTGTTTGAGCCTGATGCCACGCCTGCGAAACAGGAGGGTTGGGAGGACCTAGCAGATACGTATGCTTCTTGAAGAAGCCGTCCGGCCATTACAATTGTGAATTCAGAGCCTCCACTTTCTAGCTGTGTGGCCTGGGCACAATCTCAGTTTTTCTGAGTTTTGTTGCCTGAAAAAGTGGGACTGGCAGGACCTACCTAGCAGGATGACTAAGAAGATGAAGTACAATCACGTGAGAGCTCTTAGCTCGGAGCCTGGCAGACCTATGGTGCCCAGGCCCCAGCGGTGTCTGCACGCTCCTTCCCAGGTGGGTGTCCGAATTAGGCCAGGACCATCAAATCTGTTTCTGGCTTTCAGGAGCAACTCGTTCCCACGTGAAAGAGACATTAGCAGGATGTCCCAGCTAAACGGCAGAGCTAGACCCATTTAGTATTAAGTTGAAAACTAAGGGAGATTGATGCTTTTAACTTTCCACCCCACAGTTCTGCAATGATACGGCTATTTTATAATAAGAGAAAAATGAGCATAAATTTGCTGACTCTCCTGGGGCCGCCTGGGCACTGCTCTGCCATCCAGCAGTGGATTTACAGCGCTAAGCTGCCCAGGCAGGCAGATCGTGGGGACTGCAGGAAAAGAACCGGCCTAATTGGTACAGTCACCTCCAGATCCTAATACAACAGTGGCCTAGTCCCAGCATTGCTCAGAAGCCGGGCTCAGCTGAGCCCTCTGCTCACACCTATGCTGGCGGCCTGTCCCGGGGAAACATTGTGGTGAGTTGCACTTGGCCACACGTGCAGCTTGTAACTCTGCCTCTCTCTCCTCTGGGTCAGATGGTAAGGTCCTACCCCCTGGTCTGCCTCCTCCTCCTGCCGCTGGGCACCTGCTTTCCTCTACTGGACAGAAGAGAGCCCACAGACGCCATGGGTGGCACTGGAGCCAGAGAAAGCTGGGCCGACCTGGCCGAGGGGCCCCGACCCCACTCTGTGTGGGGCTCCTCTCGGTGGCCGAGAGCTTCACAGCCACAGGCCCTGCTTGTCATAACCAGGGGGCTGCAGACATCGGGCAGAGAGCATGCCGGCTGCAGGTTCCGCTTCGGGAGGCAGGATGAAGGCAGTGAGGCCGACGACTTCCTCCCTGCCGGAGGGGTGAAGGCCAGCGGCCCGTTAGGGAACCTGGCTGAGGAGCTCAATGGCTACAGCAGGAAGAAAGGCGGCTTCAGCTTCCGCTTCGGTCGTCGGTGAAGGGCCAGGATGCCTTGGAAGGGTTTGCTGTTTGGACTCACCCCCATTGTCTTCACTCCTGCCTTCTCCCCCAGTCTCAAAGACCACGACACCCAGGTGGTGTAGGCATGGTTACGATGAACGATCCATGGAAGGACAGGTTAGGAGGGTGCTTGCTTTTGATTTCCAACTTTGCTGAAGCGAAAAACTAGGCAGTGTCAAAAAGGAGGCTGTCTTGGCGCCTCGGTCGTCCCAGACTCTCTCTTCTCCTGGGGCTCTGACTCGGAGCAGCCCCCTGGCCCCAGGGGCACGGAGCTGAGGCTGTGGCTGGGCCATGAATGGGAATAGCAGAGCCAGGCAGCGGGCTGAGGACTTACAGTTGGGTAATCAAAGTTGTGACAGTCTATAGGGACAACTGCAGCTGACATCAGAGTGCAAATGAGTACATTCCACTGGGTACAGAGGATGGTTCTGAAAGTTAAAAACGGAAAAAAAGAATCCGATCCCCTTCTCCATCCCTTTAGCACCAGATCCCCCTGGCAAGAAGCCCCTGCTGTGGTGAGCCTTCCCCTCTGACGGCCGCCCTTCTCCGCAGCCCAGTGTTAGCCCGGCCAGGAGTCTCCTGGGAGATGCATTGGGAAGGAATACGTTTTTGCTACAGCAAGGTTGCATTTCATTTGTTCAAAATCAGAATATGTCGTGTGTATCTTTTCAAATAAAAGGTGTGACAACTGCAAAACCATACTGGAATGCTGGCCGCCCCCACAGTCTGGGTTCTGGGTGCCTTGCCTTTGGGGAGATGGAGCTCCTGTTACCTGGACCCAAACACCCCTCCCCTAGATCCCTGTAACTGGCAGTTGGTCAAAGGTGCAGAGGAACACAATACATGTGCTTTTCACTTCCACCCGGCTGCTCCTTCCCAGGTTTCCTAAGAGCGAGGAGCATTCGGAAAACAATTTCTCTGCGCCGGGGAGAGCCCACGCTCAGCCGGGAGTGGCTGCAGGCCTGAGGCCAGGCAGAGCATCCGTTTCAAACGCGCCTTTGGTGTCTCCTGCATCCCATCCCGTGTCAGAGGCAGCCGTCGGATGCTGCTCACTCCCGGGCTGGCTTCCGCTGCTGAGATGAGAACTTACATTGATGTTACTATGGCAACCCCTCCCCTCCTCCTTTTGAGCTGCAGCTTGCCCCTGTTCACAATTGAATAATTTCCCATTGAGCTGTCACAATTAATTGGTGGATTTTTATTAGCCTTTTAGAACCACACTGGGCTGGGCCCAGCTTGGCACCTTGGAGTATTTCACAGTGTTTTCCATGCTATTAGTGACTTATACTCCTCAGTAGCAGCTCTCAATCCTTGGCAGCCAGAAAGCCACTTCATTAAGGGGTGACAGATCTGAGCCACAAAGAACCAACCTGACTGGGGAGCGGAATGGGTGCTGAGATGGGAGAGAACACTGGAGTCAGAACATCACCTGGTATGAAAGCTGCCGCCTTCTCCGGGAGCTCCTCACCGCTTCCCCACCGCTTCCCACACAGACACTGAGGACCCCTAGGCTTGGCGCATGTGCCCTGAGTCTTAGGGCTGCTGTGATGGGGACAAGACAATGATTCCTGAGGCTGGTGGGGGTGGGGGTGTGGGGCACATTGTTCTCTTGGGCTCTGCCATTGTCCGATGACACAGTGGTTCAGGATGCCTCCCGCAAAGGGATGTTGTCACCGCTTGCTGACATGACACTGATGGGGACGGACACATCCCCGGGGTCCTTGCTCTAAGGATGGCCCTGGCACAGGGTGAACAGATTCGCTCACCGTAGGTGTGCTCATGCACCCCATTCTGCTTGACTCAAGGGAGGGGGAGGCAGTAAGCTAGATCAATCCCTTCCTTGGCTCATTCACGCAAAGCAGCCAGAGAATGTGCTCACCAGCGACCGGGTGAAACACAGCAGACTGAGGGCAGAGGGACACCCTGAAGCAAGGTCCCCGGGCCACCCGTCACTTGCCAACTTCTGCACCCTGAGCAAGGAGTCACCCACGGCCACTACTTTGGAGAACACCGAGGCTGAACCACCCTGCACATTCCACAGGCTCTTTGGGGATGCACTGGCTGGTCGTTAATTTAGCAGGATTAGACTAACCTTGATGGAGAAACCTGAGATAAAGAACACGGGGGTGGGGGATGCCTTCAAAGCGGTGGATATGCTGTCATTATGCTTTTATCATTTTAAAAAACCCAACAAAGCTATTCTTTCCAGTTTGCTTGTACACTTGAGCTCAATAGCCCTGAAAATCCGAACAATCAAGCTGCTAAGGGCACTGCTGTCAAATCAACTCCCGCTGGGCTTGGCTAAGCTTCCTCTTTAACCCCGTGCCCCGCTGCCAAGCCCACCGTGTCTGTCAAGGTCTTTGGGCCTCTCATGCCACCCCAGTGCCCCCTCAGCCCTCGCTCTCTCCTCCACAGGTAAGATTACCCCTCTCCAGGACGGTGAAGGTGATACTCTAGAAAACATGTATTTTGGAAGCAGAGAGGTGAAGCTCCCCTGGGCGGTGCTGGCTCACTCCACCTGGCCTGGCAGTTCCAACTCCTTCAGCCCAGAGCACCTGCGAGCTGCCTGCATCTGCTCGTTCCATTTATCCAAGACACAAGGCGGTCTTCATCTTGGTGTGTAGATCTAAAGGTATTTAGCTATCAAGATGAATGGAAAATAATTGTCTTTTCCTGTATGTTCGAAATATTAATAAAAATATTTAAGAAAAAAACCCCAAACAAAACAGGCTCCTGGGGGCGGCCAGCCAGACAGCTGCTGTAGTCATCAAGAGGGAAACCACCTCGTCCTAACTTTGCCCAGTGCCAAAGATGCTGCTTGACACATTTCACTGAAGAGCCTGACACGGTACTTTCCAGATTCTGGGCGGGAACGGGGTCATGCCCCGTGCTGCTGGTGCTCCTCCAATCCACAGCTCCTTGGCCCCTCAGAAATGCCCTCCTATAAAAAGAGCTCAGAGGGTTCCCTGATTACAGCAGTGGTATCCACTGGAGTGTGGGGGCAGGGGAGCAAGACGTTAGGTGACCCCCAGGGACAAGCGCAGTGCTGAGAGGGACACTATGGTCAGTCTGGTTTCACCTAATGTCTTCTTGTACGAGGACATTTAGAGTTTGCTTCCCCAGGGCACTCCATTCAGGAAGGCCTCCTGTAAAAGATCTCTGCCGCCCAAGTTGCTGGGCTGGCTATAATATTTGGCTGCTTCTCTTCCACTGTGGAGGGACGAATCTGGCCCTGGGCACAGCTCTCTCCTGGTCCTGTTGGGGCTGTCTGCACTGTCTACAAATTAGGCTGCCATGGTAGGCACATGCTGTGTGACCTTGGCAGAGCTGCCTGACATCTCTGAGCCTCTCAGCTTCCTTACCTGTCAAAGGAGGACAGTAACAAAAACTCCTTCATTAAAAAAAAGTGGTGGGCTTCGCTGGGCGTGGTGGCTCACGCCTGTAATCCCAGCACTTTGGGAGGCTGAGGCGGGTGGATCACGAGGTCAGGAGATCAAGACCATTGTGGCTAACATGGTGAAACCCCGTCTCTACTAAAAATACAAAAAATTAGCCAGGCGTGGTGGTGGGCGCCTGTAGTCCCAGCTACTCGGGAGGCTGAGGCAGGAGAATGGTATGAACCCAGGAGGCGGAGCTTGCAGTGAGTCGAGAAGGCATCACTGGACTCCAGCCTGGGCAACAGAGCAAGACTCCGTCTCAAAAAAAAAAAAAAAAAAAAAAAGTGGTGGGCTGGGTGCACTGGCTCACGCCTATAATCCCAGCACTTTGGGAGGCCAAGGTGGGCAGATCATGAGGTCAAGAGATCGAGACCATCCTGGCCAACATGGTGAAACTCCATCTCCACTAAAAATACAAAAATTAGCCGGGCGTGGTGGCGGGCAACTGTAGTCCCAGCTACTCTGGAGGCTGAGGCAGGAGAATCGCTTGAACCTGGGAGGCGGAGGTTGCAGTGAGCGGAGGTTTTGCCATTGCACTCCAGTCTGGGAGACAAGAGCAAAACTCTGTCTCAAAAAAAGGAAAAAAAAATTTTTTTTTGAGACAGGGTCTTACTCTGTTGCCCCAGCTAGAGAGTCTAGTGGTGTGATCATAGCTCACTGCAACCGCCGCCTCCTGGGCTCAAGCAATCCTCCCACCTTAGCCTCCTGACTACTGGCGCATGCCACCCAGCTAGTTTTTGTATTTTTTGTAGAGATGGGGTCTATGTTGCCCAGGCTGGTCTTGAACTCCCGGCCTCAAGCAATCCACCCACCTCAGCCTCCCAAAGTGCTGGGATTACAGGCATGAGCCACCCTGCCTGGCCTTTTAAGAAAATGTCTAATACCTTAGGTTGGTGTTTCGTAAATAATAACAACGGACCTCGAAGGCAGGACTCGAAAAGACCTGGAAACTGCCGGGTGTGTGCACACAGGTGCATTTTTCTGGGGCTGGGATCCAGTTTTCATTAGGTTCTCAGGAGGTTTTGTGACCCAGAAAAGGTTAAGAAACCACTGTCTTAGAATGTCTAGACCAAACTCAGCTTTTTAAGCTCAGGTGACACCCAGGAAAGACGCCCATTCAGGAGGTGAGAGGCGTCCTCCTCCACACAGCCCCAGTGTGGCTGACTGGCCTCACGTGCAGGAGCTGACTCTGGACATGATGACTCTGGACACACAGCCTCAGTGATTAGCGCTGGGAGGGCAGGGTGACAGTCCACATCTGACACAAGGAAGAAGCCACCAGCTGTGGCTGTCACCAGAATTGTCCTATGTCTTCGTTCACACCTGGGAGGAGCAGCCATTCAAAGGACAGCCCTGAGAAGCCCCAGGCTTGGTGGATCTGGTGGCCAGCTATGGTTCAACTGGCAAGGAAACTGGGGGCCCCAGCCTGGTTTTGTCCCTGTAAAATGAAAAGCGGAGAATCTGGTGCCTGGCACTGCTCACAGCCACTCACTGTGAGAGCCCTATGGCGGGCGCCACCAGCCCTGGCCCGGCTGGAGTTCCACCTGTCACCCGCCGCACAGCACGTCTTGCTCCAGGTCTCTCAAGGGGAGCTTCACCGAACTGTGATCTTCATATGCTCTGCTAAGCAGGATTCGCACCCCTGACAAACCCGCTGGCCTGATCAGTATCATTATCAGAGTGCGCTACTCACTTCCCAACTGCCCCTTTCCAAGCTGTCAGCTCGGTGGGGACTAAGCCAGGAAAGGGTGGTGGGGCTCAGTCTGAGATGGCCTTCCCGGGCCCCAAAGGCCAGCACACCTCCACTCCTTCCCATCTACACAAAGATCTAAAACACCTGGCTCAAGGAACATAAGTGAGGACGCCTGGGGGCTTAGGGCGGAAAGGTGGAGAGAGAACAGGTGCAGGTGGGGAGGGATTTGCCCTCAGTCAGCAAGGAGCACAGGACCTGACCTCGTCACCCCACTTCCATGTCTTTGCGACAGCCTGACACCACCAGTCAGACGTGGCTTGTACAGTGGCACAGCCCACTCCCAGTGATGCTGGTGGGGCCAAGCTGCCGGCAGGTAAGTGCCAAGGGTACAGGAAGGGTCAAAGCATAGCAGGGCAAGTGCCTGAAAGATGGCTGTGGGCACCCAGGCCGCAGAGGCTCTGGGTAGCTGGGGGCACTATTCTGCTCTTAAGACCTGATGCTGGACCCCAGCCCTGTTGGGAAAACCGGAACCCACTATATCCCGGCCGCCCCCCCATCACAGGCTCAGAAC